CTTATCAGTGTTGACCCGAAGCCGCACAGCCAATTGAAAGATCCAGATATTGATCAAAACTAAATTTGAGCTTTGAATTTCGGACATTTGTAGGCTGGCTGACTCAACTAGACCGGGGAAATAGTGTCCCAGTGGTCTGATAAAGACCTTTTGTGCACTCTGTAATCTTTTTTTTTTTTGTGCTACCGCTCACAGGATGAGTATGAGGTGCACAATAAACTAGCCGCCTCCGGCGGCAACAATCAACCAGTGGGCACTGTTGATTGAAAGCGATAGATGTTACGTACTGTTTCTATGTAACGTCGGAGCCCACTGAGAACATTCCGGAATTTAAGATATAATTAATAATGGTGGTAAATTTGTACTTAGTGACAGAGTGTGTGTGGCGTAGAATTAGGCGAAACCGGCGAAACCTCTTTTTACATCCCAACTTTTTCTTGAACAAGTATAGACGTCTCCAGGAGCCCACGCTCCTCCCAGCGTGTGATCACGTGATACTTGTGCTGAAACAAATAGTGTCAAAATGGATATTCAGTTGTCAATGCCATATATTCTTTTATTATAGCTTCCGTGAATTCTGATATTCTTGTATCATATAGCGATGCTCAGGGTTACGAAGACAAATATTTTTGAGATGAGATATATACAAGAGTTGTTACATTCTTGTACAGCCACTAGTACGCGTAGCGTTTCGGGCACATATTTCGGGCAAATATTTCTTAAGCGTAACACAAAGCCCGAAGGATATATTTGTGGAAGAGGCTGCCCGAATCATGGCGTTGGAAAATAAAGTTATCAAGCGATGATAATAGATTCCACGCTGTGGGTCACGCTGTGGGATGGACTCACGGAGGTGGCGTGTGTGGTGTTACTGGTGGTGGTGGACATGGCGTTATAGGCTCGTAACTTCACGTGGTCGTTGCTTTCCCTGTTAGTCGAGTCGAGTCAGTCGACTCGAAGAAAAAACTGACTGATCACCCGTCGACCGACTGCTTTCCTCTGCAGAAGGACGGTAGAGCGACGGTCTCGCTTCATGCAGGTCGGCGTTCAATCCCCGACCGTCCAAGTGGTTGGGCACCATTCCTTCCTCCCTTCCCATCCCAAATCCTTATCCTGACCCCTTTCCAGTGCTATATAGTCGTAATGACTTGACGCTTTCCCTTGATAATTCCTTCCTTCCTTCCCTCTGCAGCAGTCAGTCTAGTTCAGGTTGACGTAAATAATGGCAAACTGCGTGAGGATTACAGTAGAGATTGCGTCTGGTAGAGGCAGGGTTGTTGTTAAGTGTGGAGGTTAATGTTAATTAAATAACAAACTACACTTGTGTGTAGTTAATTATTAACTACACTCTGAATACAACAGTATTCAGTGTTTCACAAGTTGTGGATTCCAGGCCGGTGCAGCATGTTCCAGTATTGGTCTTTCTGAGACCAATACTGGAATATTCATTATCGGTCTGGAGTCCGCATCTACTGAAGTACAAACCCAAAATTGAAAAAAAGTACAAAGGTTTGTAACAAGTCTGTAACAAGAGCTTAGAGGGCCACGCTACGATGATAGATTAGTGCCAGAGCTAAGAGGGCTAATCTATGACGATAGATTAAGAAAACTAGACCTAACAACCCTGGAGGAGAGAAGGAACAGAGGGGACATGATCGCAACATACAAGATACTGAAGGGAACTAACAAGGTGGACAAGGACAACCTCAATAAAGCGAGAGACTGTACGATAAGAGGACGTAAGGGGAAGCTGAAAACGCAAATGAGTCGAATGAATTGAAGACAAGTCTCGTACCCTGTTGTGTTGGTTAACAAACGGAAGACACTTTACGGGCTCACCATAGCCCGTGCTACTTAGAACTTGTTCCGAGTAGCTGAATTTATAACAACAAAACAACGGAAGGCACTGAGAGAAGACGCTGAGGAAGCCACCACCATACTCCTCAGCTTTATGGTCAGATTCGACCAAGAATTCGCTCGTCAAAATAGTTCAATTGTAACGCAACATGCAAAGCAAGGGGGGGGGGCTTGGTCGGAGACCGGGCCTCGGGGCTGTTGATCCTCGGAGGCTGTTGTTCCCCCGGAGGCTACACAGGGTAGGTAGGTTGGGAGGTGGGACGGAAGGGATTAACTCCTCGCGTCCTCGTAATCACTGTTAGATAAGTAGTTACACGAGAACAACAGGCAATACGCGACCTGCTGGTAAATACCTGGTGTTGACAGCGATAACAAAAACTAAACAAAAACTATATTTGCGATAAAAACATAATTTGTTTTTGTGTTGTCAAGTGTTCTGAAAGGTTTAAAATGTATTTTGTGTACTCACCTAGTTGTGCTTGCGGGGGTTGAGCTTGGCTCTTTGGTCCCGCCTCTCAACTGTCAATCAACTGGTGTACAGGTTCCTGAGCCTACTGGGCTCTATCATATCTACATCTGAAACTGTGTATGGAGTCAGCCTCCACCACATCACTTCCTAGTGCATTCCATTTACTAACTACTCTGACACTGAAAAAGCTGTTTCTAACGTCTCTGTGGCTCATTTGGGTACTCAGCTTCCACCTGTGTCCCCTTGTTCGCGTCCCACCAGTGTTGAATAGTTCATCCTTGTTTACCCGGTCGATTCCCCTGAGGATTTTGTAGGTTGTGATCATGTCCCCCCTTACTCTTCTGTCTTCCAGTGTCGTAAGGTGCATTTCCCTGTGTGTGTGTGTGTAAGCCCCTACGGCAAGGCTGTATCATTATTTCACAGTTCACTTCCCAAATTATTAGTGGGTGTTTGGAGTGATGGATAGGTAGTTAATCACCCACTGTAATGAATAATAAAGCACAATAAGCGCGCGCGCGCACACACACACACACACACACACATCGATTGGGAGTCATAATCCCAAGGGACCGGTTTCGATTCCCAAAGACCAAAGCAGATGTAAATAACCAGTTTCTTTCATGTAGCAAAAATTAGGATGGGAGGTTAATGATACGAAGGATGGGGGGATAGGGTCTGGATCTGTCTGGACACCCTCCTTGGCCAGTTCTGCAACAGATTATGGTGACCTATCCCCCAGGGGGGCTACACAACATACAACCCCCCCCCCCCCACTGGTGTAACACAATCCATAACAGTTCCTTTTGAGTCCGATTAGCTTAATCAGCAGGCAATTTCTCTAATGAGGGTCTGCAATGCACGCAGATGCATTGATTGATAGATTAAGCCACCCAAGAGGTGGCACGGGCATGAATAGCCCGTAAGTGGTACAATTTTTTTTTTCTCAGTGTTCTGAGGTTGCATTTAACCATCAAGCTGTTATCGTGGCAGATGCATTAACATCATTACTGTTATGTTGGCTAGTGTAACAGCGGTGGAGAGGTGACAGGAGACAAAAGGGGTGAGTAGGGGAGATGGGTGAGGGGGGGGGCTAAATGTTTGGATCAGGAGGTGGTCAAGTACAGAACCCCCCATTCCCCCCTTTCTTGCAACACCTTTGTGGGGAGTGTGGGGGTTAGTCCTTGTGTTGTGTGACCTCTGGGGGAGGTCGTGGGTTATGTGACCCTGAGAGGAATAAGGTCAAGTGGTATGGACCATCATCTTTAGCGGGAGACGAGGCAGCTCTGTGCAACAAACCTTCTCCATTCGATCCAAAACCCACCTTTTTTTTAATTTATCATTTTGTTGATTAATTGTTCGTTTTTATAATTAAGCAACACTGCACGGTTGTTTCCGCACGAATATATACGTACTACGTGCAACGCATGCAACAATAAACTCGCTATGTCTCCCTGCATACATATTTATACATATATAAAGAGGAGGTTAATGTCTTGTTTCCTCCTAGATGGGAGATTTGGAAACTCTTCTGGGTGTATAGAACCCGGGGAGCTGTTCAGGAGAAGCATGCAAGATGCTAGTGTGTGAAGGGTGTGCACTCGGGCGTGTGAGAGACAAAGTTTGGTAGATGAGTTAAGAGAAGGTTGTGAGGGGAGGAGGAGCAGGCTCCTGGCAGCAGGCTGCAACAGGTGGCTGTGAGGAACAAGGGTAGAGCGACCAGAGGTCCACCTGCCAGCAGGACGCGGCAGGCTGAACACAACAGACAACAGGGGCATTTCCTTCTGTCGGCAGGACCAATCCATTACAATTGCGCCGTATTAATAACGACTAAAGCACCGCAGTATTGATGTTTTCATCGACCTCGATGGGTTTGGTGGGTTGATTGGGTTCGCACGTTTCTGGTTATGCAAAACAATTGCATTTTTTACAGAGTGGCAAATCAAGAGTTGTTCAATAAAGTCTGCAAAAAAAAAAAATTTTTACATTGATGTCACAATTAAGATTTTTAAAAAGAGATAATATGTAACTTCTCTGATTCCTGTTATTCTAACCAACTTCTTATATGAAGCCTAATAACGTTAAATACCAAATTAACAACATTTACTCAACCCAACTTCCAAAAAGTATAGTGGTTCCTAACATGTTATATTTCACTATAGTTGATTAAGTCCTGGCCGAGAGAATGGCTGGTCGTTCACAATCATTTCCCTGTCATTTTTCTTATCTGGTGTTGATTCTAATCTCCCACACACACATAGGTAGCCTAGTCGCAGTGTGGGTGGTCCGCTCTTCACGCCTGGTGGCGTCTGTGGCAACCCGCCTAATAGAGCGTCGCATTTTGACATATACTCTACCTAAGGCCAAAAATCGACCTTCTAGAAAATAGTAGCGGCTCGCGATATTGACATACTGTCCCGTTTTCTGTTTTGGGTCCTCTGGTAGGTTAAAGATAAGATACTTTTGTACGACAGTTATTTGACGTTGGGAAACACAGACTTCTGTACCAGGCTGATACAGAAGGCTGTGTTCCCACAAGAAACGTTTATTACAACTTGTAACAGATTTCTTTGTAGATTGCAATTTCATTTCCACACATCCTTACCTAACTGAGATCCATCTAGTTACTATTTATCTTCCTCGTGGTCAAAAGTTTAGGACTGTAAAGATTTTTACAATGTTTGAGGACTTAAGGTTTCTTATGGTGTGTGAGCAGCACAAGCCATCTAGACAGAAAGACTGTGATGCCTTCTGTCCAGATGGTAGCGGGCGGCATTACACCACGGGACAGGTAAACTAGTGTAATCTGTCTAATACCTTTAGTTCCTCAACAGCTTCTCGCAGAGACGACTCAGTGTTGAGGGATTACACCTTGCAAAAATATGAATTTCAGTTTGGTGACGTTACACAAATAAATAAATCAATTTATGTTTGCTTTTGCGACTTCGTGTACGACAACTCTGATGGTGGTTGGAGGTCAAAGATACTTGCCTAGTTGTGCTTGCGTGGGTTGAGGTTTTGCTCTTTGGTTCCGCCTCTCACCCGTCTACTCTAGTGAGATGGTGGGAGGTTTGTGGTGTAATACTCGAGTGAAATGGATGGTCTGATTGTACAAAACTCACAACGCTGAATTTTGTACAATCAGTCCAAACTGGCAATTAAATTTGTAGTCTTGGTACCGTCAGGAAAGGACTCCTGGTTCCACGATGACGATGACCTGGTGTAGACCAGCACCAGACACAGCAGGTCTGGACACCTGCTGTCTCTGGGGACCTCGATGTGTCTCGATGGTCTTCTAGCTGGTTTTTCTGTGTAGTGGGGTCCGTCGCTCGCCGGGGTATGCCTTGGGTTGCTAAGCATCTATCTCATATCCTGTTTATCTGCCAAAAAGCACAGCGGTCTTCCGCCAACAAGCGACGATTAGAGCTAGGATGCGTTTTCTTTTTCCATTACGTGGACGCCTGTGCGCATCCGGCCAGAAGCGCAGTCGTAGCCGCCCCCAACAACAGTCTCAGAATGTTTGGTAATATGTTTATTGTTTGTGATGTGTTTGTATGTATGTATTAACACGATGTACTGAACGGGGTGAGAATAGCTTGAGCTACCTCATCCCTTTGTGTGGATTTTACCTCAATAAACTTATTTCAATTTCAATTTCAGTTTCTCAACAACAGTAATATTCCCCAGGGAAAGTGTATGTGTTGGGTATACAGTACCCAGTATGGTACAAAAACTATATGATCAAACAAGAAAGGCTCAAGTGAACGTTATCAACAACTGGTAACAAAGAGATGGTAAATACATGTGTGAAAGTTTACCCGACGGTCAAGCGCGCGTTCCCTGACAGGTGGCAGCACCAGGATGCCTTTTTTTCTGACCCATTTTCTGTGGTCGGGTTTGTTGACATTTGGAGAGTGAGCGGGCATGTAGCGAGGGTATATCAGTGCCCTGCCTGCGACATGAATCTTACGATCTATTCATGCCCGTGCCACCTCTTGGGTGGCTTAATCTTCGTCAGTCCATCAGAGATGAATTATAACATAAGCCGTTTGAGTAGCATCGATTTAGAAAAATGTTTGTGTGAAGTAAGGACACATTTAATCACGCGGCAGCTAATGCTATGGCGTGAGTGGAGGTTACAGGTAAGCAGAGGAAATGATAATTTTTTGCTCCATTTTATTTTGTTTAGCTTTTTTGCGCTGATTGGCACAGAAGACGCCTTCTAAATGTTCTTGGCAAGATTAAGGGTTCTCCCTTCATCACAGCTGTTCCTAAAACTCCCCCCCCCCCACCCCTCCAAAAAATAATAACAAGCTTATATAACCAAGAAGATTCATATATATATATATATATATATATATATATATATATATATATATATATATATATATATATATATATATATATATATATATATATATTATTAGCTTTTTCGTGGCAAATGCATAGTATAAGGGTAGGTTAATATTTGTTAAGTTATTTTGGGTGAGTAGCGCAGCTCTCACTAATACAGCACCTGCTGGCTGCCAGAGTGTGGTTTAGATTATACTGCTCGATCTTGCATTCATAGATTCTGTGAACTTACAGGCAGGCGCCGCGATATTTCTCAGGTCAACAGGTATCTACTGCATACCATATTTGTATAGGTGTGTGTGTGTGTAACGCTTATTCATATTCAATACTCCCTTTCCTACGAGGTTCCTGTAACGCTTTTCGCTAAAGCTCTACTATCACCTACCAGGAGATATATATAGTAGACATGCTTCCACATGGCTCTCTTGTAAGGCTCCCTTAGGGCTCTCCTCTAAGGCTCCTCAGGGCTCTCCTCTAAGCCTTTAGTCTTTATCTGAGATCGATCAGACGTCAAGGCCAGAGGGTCAGATATTGTCTCCCGGGTCTGTTTGAGATGGCATTAATGAAACATGGTGGAGTGGGAGTAGAGCAATAGTGGTGATGGAGGCAGTGGAGGGGGAATATCCTGGTGGAGGGCAAGAGAAGGAGTGGTGGAGGGCAAGAGAAGGAGTGGTGGAGGGCAAGAGGAGGAGTGGTGGGGGGCAAGAGGAGGAGTGGTGGAGGGCAAGAGGAGGAGTGGTGGGGGCAAGAGGAGGAGTGGTGGGGGCAAGAGGAGGAGTGGTGGGGGGCAAGAGAAGGAGTGGTGGAGGGCAGCAGTATTACAAAAACCAGCTTTTACGCGTTGAGGAGACCTGTTCTGTGGCCGCTTTGGCTGCTTTTTTGTTATTATTAACAAGCTTAAGTATACACAGCAATGTGCTGATACCTTATTCTGTATAAAAGTTTACAGAGTATACATGTAAACCCAGCTGTAAGTTCACCTAATATCCCCTTTACACTGTAGTAAGGTACACTATAGTAGTCGTGGGGGTATGAGGTAGTAGTGACAGAGCTCAAAACATCATATACCATTTGATCTAAAGTTATTGATAACAGGGTGGTCATAAATGTTGTGTTAGAGAGTGGGTCTGAAGAGTTGCTCTAACCTAAACGTATACCAGCTACCATGTAACTTTGAGTCACGTCACTTTGAGTCACGATACTTTGAGTCGCTATAACTTGCCGTTGCTGGTGCCAATGCGTTACGGGCTATTCATGCCCGTGCCACCTCTTGGGTGGCTTAATCTTTATCAATCAATCAATGCCAATGCGCTCACGGGAGACATCTCCCGTCACGCAGGGTGCAGTCGCATCTCCACATATCTCCAGTATCAGCTCTTGGTACTAGTAATGGCTCAAAAGGGCCACCATTTACGGGCTATTCATGCCTGTGCCACCTTTTGGGTGGTTTATTAAAAAAAAAAAAAAACAATGCGCTGCAGGTGGCCTTGGCGCAAACTGTGATGCAGGTGCATGCGGGTCTGGTACTGGCAGAAGCCCACCCCCGAGGCTGGAAGAGACAACGCTTGGTAACGACACGGCGAGTCGTTACCTTCCAGTAGCACACATCTTGATTCCAGACAACCATTCCGGAAACACTTGCCCTCCCTCCCTCCCTCCCCGCAGTGAGTGAGTCTGGCCTTGCTTGTCACCCGTCTTGGTGGCCATCTGGGTCACTGTGACCTTGACCTTCTCTCCCATAGCTCGACCCCTCCCTACCGTGACCTATGAAGGGTCTTTGTACCTGATGTTACCAATGGTTCAGTCACACCCTCTTCTCTCTTGTTGATCTCGTTACCTGTGGGCTGAGGTCCGCGCGTTGCCATTACTCTGTGGGTGGCAAGTGTGTGGCAAATCAACTGATATTACGTTTAAGTGTTCACATATATTCTCCACAGATGTTTTTTTCACGGCGATAGTTATTATTCTGTTCGGTTTTTTTTATTCCCCGACTTAATCGGAGCGTAACCTCTAAAGGGGACGTCACTGTCCGGCAGTTAACGGAATAGGGAATATATTGATGCCTTGTCCAGTGAATTGCGAAATCGGATTGTTTGGTTGGACAGTCGAGGTCAGGAAGACTTCCTCCTGTCTCTCAGTATCAAGTAATTGTTTCAGGTTGACCTCTGATTCCCAGTAGTGTGGAGGGTGTATGACCCGGGGGGGGGGGGGAGTGGCTCCTGGAACGTGATCCTGTGGCCCGGGTTCGATTTCCGGAGCTGGCGAGAAACGATGGACATTCTTAGTAAATAGGTACCTGGGAGTTAGTCAGCTGTCACAGGCTGCTTCCTGGGGGGGTGTGTGTGGTGTGAAAAAAATAGTAGTTAGTAACAGTTGATTGATAGTTGAGAGGCGGGTAGAAAGAACAGAGTTCAACCCCCGCAAGCATAACTAGGTGAATACAACTAGATGAATCACACACACACACACACACACACACACACACACACACACACACACACACACACACACACACACACACATACTTACACTTTTACAGGGTTCTGTAGCGCAATGAGCTACATCGTCCGCTCACAACCAAAGATAGTGGGTTCGATTCCAGCTGCAGAATGGAAACGTTTGGGAAACGTTTTTCCTCACCTCATGCCTCTGTTCACCTAGCAGCAAATATATGCCTGGACGTTAGGCAGCTGTTGTAGGTTGTATCGTAGATATGCCAGTAGTTGGCCTAGTAGATATGATAGAAAATATAGGTCAGAAATCATTACATTGGTTGGCAAGTCGGGGTCCAAGAGCTCGACCTGCAGGTAAAAATAGGTGAATTGAAATAGGTGAATACCCACGAGGCCCCCCCTAAGCCGATAACCAGAGCGCAACTCCATAGTCTCCTGAGACTGTGGAGTTGCGTAGTCATCTCCTGATGACTACTACTAATCTAATACACATTGTTGTTGTGCTGTTAAAGATTCAGCTACTCGGAACAAGTTCCAAGTAGCACGGGCTATGGTGAGCCCGTAACTTACCTGACACAGGAGCGGGGCAAGTAGCACGGGCTATGGTGAGCCCGTAGTGGACTTACCCGGCACAGGAGCGGGGCAAGTAGCACGGGCTATGGTGAGCCCGTAGTGGACTTACCCGGCACAGGAGCGGGGCAAGTAGCACGGGCTATGGTGAGCCCGTAGTGGACTTACCTGGCACAGGAGCGGGGCAAGTAGCACGGGCTATGGTGAGCTCGTAGTGGACTTACCTGGCACAGGAGCGGGGCAAGTAGCACGGGCTATGGTGAGCCCGTAGTGGACTTACCTGGCACAGGAGCGGTGCTGAATCCCTCTAATACACAGCAGGAAGTGAGCTTTAAAGTCATTCATACAAATAAAGGTGAGCTCAGGAGGAAGACTAATGTCCCCCTGGATATTGACGCCAGGAAACTCTCGGATATTACTGCCGTTAATGATAATATAGTTCTGGGAGAGATAACAGATGACAACTACCTTGTAGTTGTCAACCAGGGGCCAGATTCACGAAAGCACTTACACCAGCACTTACGAACCTGTACATCTTTTCACAATCTTTGGCGGCTTTGTTTCCAATTATTAAACAGTTAATGAGCTCCGAAGCACCAGGAGGCTGTTTATAACAATAACAACAGTTGAATGGAAAGTTTTCATGCTTGTAAACAGTTTAATAAATGTAACCAAAGCCGTCAAAGATTGAGGAAAGATGTACACGTTCGTAAGTGCTTGCGTAAGTGCTTTCGTGAATCTGACTCCTTGTCCCCTGACAGGTACACAGCGGTAGTACACAGCGAGAGGTAAGACGACGAAGGAATGCGACTCCTTTGATTAGGAAGGATTACAGATACAAGTGGAGGGGAATACCAAGCTGTGAAATATTCACCAAGTACACAAGAGGCTCCGTAAGAATGGCAGGTGAGACAGAGATCACACTAACGTGATGCATCAAATGAACAAATCCACAAGGGCCGTGACGCAGGTTCGAATCCTCGTCACGGCCCTTGTGGATTTGTTCAATGGCAGGTGATATACAGCTCTCTGCAAGATGGCAAAAGTCGCTGACGGAAGTAGAAGTGTGTCTTTATTATCTTGAGATGATTTCGGGGCTTTAGTGTCCCCGCGGCCCGGTCCTCGACCAGGCCTCCACCCCCAGGAAGCAGCCCGTGACAGCTGACCCAGGTACCTATTTTACTGCTAGGTAACAGGGGCATAGGGTGAAAGAAACTCTGCCCATTATTTCTCGCCGGCGCCCGGGATCGAACCCGGGACCAAAGGATCACAAGTCCAGTGTGCTGTCCGCTCGGCCGACCGGCTCCACATTAACCTGTGGAGGTTGTCTGAAATAAGGACCTGCCATCAAAATGGTCTGGCAGTAAGTCAGTTTCAATTTTTTTTGTGGGGGTTAACTTTGCCCCGAAGGCTAGTTTATTGGGCAGCTCCACTGGTACACTAGGGGCTCACCATAGCCCGTGCTAGTTTATTGGGCAGCTCCACTGGTACACTACGGGCTCACCATAGCCCGTGCTACTTGGAACTTTTTGTTCCAGGTAGCGAATCTTGAACAACAACAACATCCACTGGTACACCACCATCTTGTATATATATAGTCTTCTGTGACTATTTTCCACTGGCCATTTATTGGACCAATTTTGTTGCATGGTTAAAACACTTCAAGCCATTTCCACTTGGCTTTCTAATGACCTTTCGAGCCTTGCAAATGATCATTCTGGCCTTGAAATGCCACCTGTGGCGTGCAAGGAGTTTGGCCTTGCAATGACCACTAAGGTCTTGCAATGAACACTAAGGTCTTGCAATGACCACTAAGGTCTTGCAATGACCACTAAGGTCTTGCAATGACCACTAAGGTCTTGCAATGACCACTAAGGTCTTGCAATGACCACTAAGGTCTTGCAATGACCACTAAGGTCTTGCAATGAACACTAAGGTCTTGCAATGACCACTAAGGTCTTGCAATGACCACTAAGGTCTTGCAATGACCACTAAGGTCTTGCAATGATCACTAAGGTCTTGCAATGACCACTAAGGTCTTGTAATGACCACTAAGGTCTTGCAATGACCACTAAGGTCTTGCAATGACCACTAAGGTCTTGCAATGATCACTAAGGTCTTGCAATGACCACTAAGGTCTTGCAATGACCACTAAGGTCTTGCAGTTATCAATTATGCCTTATTAAATAATGAGGTACCATAATGAGGAAACAGAGCCCCTTTGGCACTGCAGCAAGTGCGTTATTGAGACACCAGGTACTCTAGGTACCAGGTAGCTTGGTGAAGTGACGGACACACTGGTGGTGGCCGTTGTACAGCTCACTGTGGGTAGAGTAGCCCACTCTCCTGGTTGGCCATAACGTTCGAAAATCAAAAAACCTAACCTAACCAAAAAATCTACGAACCCAAGCCCCCCCGCTTAACCTAACTTAACCTACCGATTTATAGAAAACGTGGATATTTATGAGCCGCTGCTTTTCATAGAACTTTGTAATATGTACGTTGGTGACCACAACGCAGAGTATGAGGCGTAAACCGGAGTGGATGAGCGCTCACGCGCACCATGGACGCACGGGAGGAGCCTTGAGCTACACCCGTGAGGCGGAACTTGCGATTTCGGGTAAAAAAAGCCGTTCAAGAAATCAAGTTTCAACCAGACAAGAAGTGGTGCTACCATTGAGGAAGCGCTGAGGGTCCACGTGGGGACATTAGGGCGACGTGGTCGTAGTGGTTGTGTCTGTGGCAACCCACAACCACAAACCACAACCTCTCAATGATACTTGTGTCGTGTTTCCGCTGTCAGTGATTGTTCGTGACTTGTTTCCCCATTATCAGGGGCATCAGATGCAAGGAAACGTGCCCGAAATACCCCCCCCCCCTGCCTTGGGTATCAAATTCGGGATCTGTATATAAGCTGTGAACAGTCTAGGGTGATCGACGGGCTCACCATAGCCCGTGCTACATGGGACACTTCGTTCCGAGTGGCTAAATCTGAAACAACAACTGCGGTGATCACTCTGGGGGCAATTAGTGTGAGCTCGACTGGGAAAGCTGCGTGGCTGCTTCACGCTCTTCTCGGCACTTCGGACCCTGAGCTGTGATTATGTGGGGAGGGGGGGAAGGGGGGGAGACGTGGTGAGAGTGACTGAGCCAATCCCGAGGGCGGAGGGGGGTCGTGGTGTTTGGGTGGGGGTTGGGGGGGGATGGTGTAGGAAATCGCGTATCTGGCACCTTACAAGTGACACCTCATTGGTTCTGGGCGTATGTAAGTGTTCTTGTGTTGATCTTGGGCCCTACGGGTTATTCATGCCCGTGCCACCTCTTGGGTGGCTTAATCTTCATCAATCGATCTTGGCCCCGAATAAATTGATCACCCCATGCCTGCTTAACAGCCCCGCTCCTGTGCCAGGTAAGTCCACTTCGGGCTCACCATAGCCCGTGCTACTTGCCCCGCTCCTGTGCCAGGTAAGTTACGGGCTCACCATAGCCCGTGCTACTTGGAACTTGCTCAGAGTAGCTGAATCTATAACAACAACAACAACAACAGTCTGCTTAACAAGTTACAGCCCCACTCCTGTGCCAGGTAAGTTACGGGCTCACCATAGCCCGTGCTACTTGCAACTTTTGGTTCCCAGTTGTCTATAACAACAGCCAGCTTAACCTTGTGTCTAAACACCATAGCGCTAGATGGACTAACTCTCCCCCTCCCCCCTTGGAGCAGTTGTTTATTCGTTAATAAATTACATTTAATTGACAAATAATTTCCCTGTGTGAGCGCGCGGGTGAGACACCGAGCGAGGCGCGTGCGCGCGCGTGTGTGAACCAGGAAGTGACAGTGTGGCGGCGCTCACCACAACGATACATGGAGACAAATGTACTGAAAAGCTGGCCACGAGTGGAAATTACGGGCTCACCATAGCCCGTGCTACATGGACACTTCGTTCTGAGTAGCTAAATCTGAAACAACACACGAGTTAATGAGTATAAAGTATTTAAAGCTAGTGAGACTGACCAAGAGGTAGTCAGGAGGGAGGAAGAGTTTCCTCAGGAGTGTCTGTGTGTGGGGGAAGAAGGTGGTGACCTTGGGGCGTCGTCTGTGGCTTCAGAACCCCCCCTTCCTGTGCCATAGAAGATGAGGGGTGTCGTCCCTGGCGGGGCGTGGAAGACGAAGGAAGGAAAGGGGAAAGCGAGGGGCGTCGTCCCTGTCGTGGAACAGAAGGGGGAAGAGTAGCGTGGCGTAGAAGGGAAGGGGGTAGGCCAGGCGGCTGACGGGTGTGAGGGCCTAGCAACAACTACCCAACACCGCCTTGCACGTCATGGTGGTTACCTTGAGATGGTGATGTAGTGTCTTCCGACATGTTGATCACCGTCGCCTCGTGCATATGTTAGTCTCTGACTTCCGCTCTAAACACGGCAATTACGCTTAAACGTGGCACAAACGTATCAAGACCTCTCAGGTATGGCAAAACACGGACTAGTAACCCTTAGATACGTCAAAACACCGCGATGAAATCTTAGATATGGCAAAAACTTCATAACAAAACTCAGATATAGGGTCTTGTAGCACAGTTGGCTTCGTTCTCGACTCACACTCGGGGAGAACAGGAAAAGAACAAGAAAAGAACAGGAAACTTAATGAAATAGTTGATTTTATGTTGGTTTGTAGATCGATCATTAACTAGTTGTATTCCTTGGTACAGTGATTACTACAGGAGCGTGGCCGGGACTACAGGAGCGTGGCCGGGACTACAGGAGCGTGGCCGGGACTACAGGAGCGTGGCCGGGACTACAGGAGCGTGGCCGGGACTACAGGAGCGTGGCCGGGACTACAGGAGCGTGGCCGGGACTACAGGAGCGTGGCCGGGACTACAGGAGCGTGGCCGGGACTACAGGAGCGTGGCCGGGACTACAGGAGCGTGGCCGGGACTACAGGAGCGTGGCCGGGACTACAGGAGCGTGGCCGGGACTACAGGAGCGTGGCCGGGACTACAGGAGCGTGGCCGGGACTACAGGAGCGTGGCCGGGACTACAGGAGCGTGGCCGGGACTACAGGAGCGTGGCCGGGACTACAGGAGCGTGGCCGGGACTACATGAGCGTGGCCGGGACTACAGGAGCGTGGCCGGGACTACAGGAGCGTGGCCGGGACTACAGGAGCGTGGCCGGGACTACAGGAGCGTGGCCGGGACTACAGGAGCGTGACCGGGACTCTGTATCGCTGTAGTGCCGCCGTGACAGGACTGGCGACACTCGTGTTTACAGCAGGAGAAATTACAGACTGAATTTGTTATCGGTCATTTACTTTCGCTAAATGTATAAAGACAGACGTGAACAGCATTATGCAACCGGTACTCTGTTTCTGAGAACACTAGATGGTCAAGAGCGTGCCAAGCGCCCTGGCCTCTGGCACCCCTTGGCCTCTGGCACCCCTGGCCTCTGGCACCCCTGGCCTCTGGCACCCCTGGCCTCTGGCACCCCTTGGCCTCTGGCACCCCTGGCCTCTGGCACCCCTGGCCTCTGGCACCCCTGGCCTCTGGCACCCCTGGCCTCAGACAGAGAAACGTTTACAATTCATCTTTTTTCTTCTCACTGGAACTTTTTCTCTCAATTTTGACTTCTTTCGTTTCAGTCTTCATTTTCTTGTCCTTCTTGTTGGGTTCATTAGTTTCCTTCTCTCGTTTTTCCTGAAATGGCGAGGAAACTGTTAGTTAATTCGGGTTCATTGTCTTGCATTTAAAATTAAGCAATATTTATATTATTTATATTATGATGGTTAAGGATATCAATTTGAGCATCGCCTTGTGACAGGGAGAGAGACAACGCAGGTCTGAGGTGACTCCTGGGGCCTCCACACACACACACACACACACACACACACACACACACACACACACACACACACACACACACACCCCTCTCCCCTTCTAACATACCTCCTTCCCCTCTCTTAACATGTCCCCTTTTCTCCCACTCACATGCACCGTGCTGCCCCTCTCACAAGCCCCACTCGCCCCTCTCTCTCTCTTTCCCATTCCCCCTCCCCTTTCTAAAATGATCCCCCTCCATCCTCTCTCCCCTCTTCCATGCCCCCCGCTCCCCCCTCTTACACGCTCCTTCCCCCTCTAACATGCCTCCCCCCCCCCCTCTCCTACCCTGGCGATGGGGAGATACATTAGCCTCGTCCATCTCAAAATAACTCAGTGATGGCTCTCCCCTCAACTGCTCTCTCACCTGCTGCTCTCTACCCTACCCTGCTGTATCTACCCCTGCTGTACCTCCCCTCATTTCTTCCCCCCCTGCTGTATGTTCCCCTCTTTCTTCTATCTCTTCCCCCATGCGCTTCTCCCCTAATATACCTCTTTTCTTCTCTCCCCAGACACCTGTTGGGATCAATAGGTGGGGAGAGGGCTCCGGGGGAGACTAGTGGAGAGGGAGAACTGAGAGAGAGAGGGAGGGAGGGAGAGAGTAAGTGTTCCGAAATTTGCGTGGATAAGTGAGAGACAAAAGAAAAAAAGGAAAATGGGAAAAGGTGACGAATAAAGAGGAATTATAACGATTGGTTAGAGACACAGCCCCGCTCCTGTGCCAGGTAAGTCCACTACGGGCTCACCATAGCCCGTGCTAACCTTGGAACTTTTGTTCTGAGTAGCTGAATCTAAAACAACAAACAACAACGATTGGTAAGAGGTTTTTTATCACCACTACGATCACTACAACCCAAATCCACCCACACCCCACACACACCTAACTCCACCACCACCACAGTCACATCCACCCACACCTCCACCACCCCGAAACCAATATCAACCCCACCACACCCCTTCCCCACGAGAATAGGCTAGTGGAACTGAATCTCACAACCCTAATGAATAGAAGGAACAGAGGGAATATGATCACAACATTCAAGATACTGAGAGGGGAATAGGTAAAGTGGACAAGGATAGCCTCTTCAAATTGGGAGAAAGTAGGACAAAAGGACACAAGTGGAAGCTGGAAACATAAATGAGCCGAAGGAATGTAATACTGGTACACTGTACGGATGGTCAACAACTGGAATGCATTGAGAGAAGTTGTGGAAGCCGCCTCCATCCACAACTTTAAGCCAGGCTCGATAAAGAATGTGAACATCATAATAGTTCAATTATAATGCAAAAGGTAAACAAAAAGGCTCGTATCAAGTGAGGTCTCGCTCTTTACGCCCCGTAAAGAGCTAGATCTCACGCGATAAAGAGCTAGATCTCACGCGATAAAGAGCTAGACCTCACGCGATAAAGAGCTAGACCTCACGCGATAAAGAGCTAGACCTCACTCGATAAAGAGCTAGACCTCACTCGATAAAGAGCTAAACCTCACTCGATAAAGAACTAAACCTCACTCAATAAAGAGCTAAACCTTACGTGATAAAGAGTTAAACCTCAGTCGCGCACCACCAGGTGGCCAGCGAGTCCGTGTTTCAACTACACCTTTGAGCACCCGACGAACAAGAGTTTTACGTTAAAAAAATTATGTAATTTCAAATTGTGTCCATTTAGAGGGAGTTGCTTAAAGGTTCCATAGCAAAGGATTTTGTTTTAAGATCAGCCGAGTAGATAATTATTTAAGGTTGTAAGTGGACGAGTGAACGAGTTTGAAACGGGAATTGGCAGCTTTATGCTGTGGCGGGCTTTTGATTGGTCGGTGTCACTGGTGAGGTCACGCGTAGCTGTTCGAGGCAGAATGAACCTGGAACCAGTCAACGATGGAGAAGATGCATTAACCTCGAACCGAAAAGGAAAAATTCAATCAAAATACACACTGGCTACCAGATGTGGTCGTGGGCCACACTGGCCAGGTTTTGGTCGTGGGCCACACTGACCAGGGGCCAGATTCACGAAATCACTTACGCAAACACTAACGAACCAGTACTTCTTTTCTCAATCTTTGGCAGCTTTGTTTCCAATTATTAAACAGTTAATGAGCTCCTAAGCACCAGGAGGCTGTTTATAACAATAACAACAGTTGAATGGGAAGTTTTCATGCTTGTAAACTGATTAATAAATGTAACCAAAGCCATCAAAGATTGAGGAAAGATGGACACGTTCGTAAGTGCTTGCGTAAGTGCTTTCGTGAATCTGGCCCCAGGTGTGGCCGCACCACAGCAGAATATATCAATATTCTATATATCCGTTACAACAAAGGTTTACATATTTAAGCTCAGGAATAAAGGGGAAAATGTATACATCACAAAGTTTGTTTACATCCGTTTTAATGACATTATGCACGACGGAGAGAGAGAGAGAGAGAGAACCAGTGGTTAGGCGTCCCCTCCCACACGGCAGCGACCTGTCATTACCTCCACTAGGACTGACAAACACAAACACACCATCACCCTCGCCACAGAGGTATGAACAAAGACTTTGGGGGGGAACTTCAGAAATAGCCAGCGGGTGTAATTGCCGCGCGCCCCACATTACAGACGCGAAGCCTCGTATTACGATACATTTTTAATTGCATCCTTCAATTTGCACCTCTCGTGCGGCGAGCAATCGGGAAGCTGATTGTTGAAAAATGTATAGGTTGAGGGGGAAGGTGGGGGTGTTTTGGAGAGGGGGTAGGGGGTTTTTGGAGTGGGGGATGGGGGTGTTGGTTGAGGGAGGAGGGGAGAGGCTGATGACCAGGTTCACCTAAGATCACGGTACTGTGCTTCCGTCGACCACAGTGATTATATAATAGTGAGGAGGGGGGGTTATAGTGACCGTGTGGGTGGAGGGGGTTGTAGTGAGTGTATGAGGTAGGGGGGGAGGGGTTGTTGTTGTCGTGAGCGTGAAAACTATATTGACTTGGTCAAAATGAGGATTATGAGGGGGAGAGCTCACAGCGTGACGAGATGTCACTATCGGAGTCCCACAGGGTACAGTTCTTGAACCTATCTTTTTTCTTGTATATGTCAATGATCTTCCAGAGGGAATAGTTACGGGCTCACCATAGCCCGTGCTACATGGACACTTCGTCCTGAGTAGCTAAATCTTTAACAACAACAACAGAGGGAATAGACTCGATGAGCCAATGAGTCGATTAGTGAGTGAACGAGTCGATTAGTGAGTGAACGAGTCGATTAGTGAGTGAACGAGTCGATTAGTGAGTGAACGAGTCGATTAGTGAGTGAACGAGTCGATCAGTGAGTGAACGAGTCGATCAGTGAGTGAACGAGTCGATCAGTGAGTGAACGAGTCGATCAGTGAGTGAACGAGTCGATCAGTGAGTGAACGAGTCGATCAGTGAGTGAACGAGTCGATCAGTGAGTGAACGAGTCGATCAGTGAGTGAACGAGTCGATCAGTGAGTGAACGAGTCGATCAGTGAGTAACGAGTCGATGATCAGTGAGTGAACGAGTCGATCAGTGAGTGAACGAGTCGATCAGTGAGTGAACGAGTCGATCAGTGAGTGAACCAGCTCATCAGTGGGTGTCGAGTGTCGACCTGAAAGATGCGGTTGAAAGCAACAGGTGAAAGTTGAATGACTTCATATAATGATCGACATGTTTCAGAATTCAATAGTTTCTCTATTGTTAATTACCCATTTAAGCTTGAGAAAATTCGTGGTTTAGATTTTCTGAATGCCTTAGTAGTTTCTTGTTTTTAAACATATGGCTTTCAATGCAAGATAATATGCATTATCTTGTTAATAATATGCATAATTAATTGGTAATAAATAATAACTATAATAATAATTGTAACAATATTAACAATAAAAATAATTTATTACTTAATTCCTAAGTCATCTTAAATTTTTAAATTTTACCCTGAAGGGCGAGTTTATTAGGAGAGCGCCACTCATCCTGTGAGAGGACACACCGCCATAGTAGCATGTACAACACTCCCCAATAGGAAGAATTGGGGAGTGTTGTTTATACTTTATACTGTTTATACTTATAATAGGAATATTCCACATTCGTGAGACTGGTGGGGAGAAAAAAATATGTGTGCTGCATTTTAAAATTGTCTGCCCGAACATGAACAGCTCTGCATCAAAGAAAACGATACTCAATAGCTTCACCTAAATAAAAAGTTCCGTTTTCTTTGAATGCTTAATTCTTATATACAACCCTTTTAAAACCTTGCGAACTAAGGCTTAAGGAAAAACCTATAATATTTCGCAAATTAAATATATATTACATTCGGTCAAGCGCACGAACCTAAGAAATAGGCTGGCACAGTATGACGTTTCAGAACACGAATTTAGAACATTGTTATAGAGAAGATACATACATTAGGATACAATGAGTTATATTTTCGATACAACATTCAGTACGTTAAATAAGCAGCACGTCCACATATACTTCTCAGCACAGGAATATATGTATACCAAATGGTGTACCTTGCTTCTCGGGGGATATACTGGTATACACTGAAAGTTTACTTTAGTCTCGAACTATGTTCAAGACTAAACATACTTGGGTTTGTCAGCAAAACATTGTGCGAATGTTGATCTTCTTGTTTGAGAAGCTGTTCACTTGAGACAGTTAAGCAAGTCCCAGCTGTGTCTGGGTACAAGTTTTTTTCTACCACAGACATGGCCAGACATTTATAATGCTAACCATCATATATACATTTTCTTGTGTCCTCCATGGACAGGATGAGAGATCTGTTAAACATATACTGTAGTTCATTGATTTATTGAACAATCAATCACAGAAGGTAATTGTAGTGCTTTTAAAATGTTAATCTTTTTTTTATACTTAACCACTTAAGGTCATTAAGATGTTTTTACAAGCTCAGGTTATATAGTTACATCACATACATTGTATAATTGATACATTACATGGTCAATCTTGGGTACAAGTCCAATATATCAAGTGTTCCAGTATTCATATAGTAGTTACAGGGTTCAACATACTTCAGGCCAGGAGGGCTAAAGTCAGCAAATACCAGCCTCAATACAAAACAAATCAACTCTGACTAAAAATCACAGGAGAGAACATAGTCTCCGTGGTGTAGTGGTAAGACACTCGCCTGGCGTTCCGCGAGCGCTATGTCATGGGTTCGTATCCTGGCCGGGGAGGATTTACTGGGCGCAATTCCTTAACTGTAGCCTCTGTTTAACGCAACAGTAAAATGTGTACTTGGATGAAAAAACGATCCTTCGCGGCAGGGGATCGTATTCCAGTGGCCTTAGGATTAAGGACTTGCCCGAAACGCTACGCGTACTAGTGGCTGTACAAGAATGTAACAACTCTTGTATATATCTCAAAAAAAAAAAAACATGAAATATAAGGCCTCCACTAGCAAAATCTGGGTACAGCACAAGAATATCTTAAAATATTCCTGAGTGTATGAAGTAATTACAGAACTCAAAATACCTCATACCATATGGTCTGAAGTCACTGATAACAGGGTAATCACAGATATAGTGTTGGAGAGTATGTCCCAGCTCTTGTTCACATAGTTTACAATTGGAATGTTCACAATTGGGGGATTCATTACCTGCAGCCACCTGCCATAGATATCGATATCCCAGCCTAATTCTGGCATTTACAATGTCTACTATCTAGTGGATGTTTAATGCTGCCCGTACATATAATTCTCAGTTCTAAATATGTCAAAGCTCTTTATACTCGTGATTTCTGGCCTTTGTGTGCTATTCTGCTCTTCTGTCTTCCTTAATTTCCTGAATATTGCGGTTTTTACAGAAGAGATTGGCATGCCCATATCCAACTCAATTTCAGTATCACATGCAGTTTTAGCTGACTTGTCTGTGTCATGCTGGCCAACACCTATGTGAGATGGTATCCATACAAATGAGACTCTGAAACTCTTGCTCTTTGCATTAATAATGTTGTTTATAATGAATGTTACAACGTTCCTAGTATCTATTTTGCATGTCGGGTTTTTAAGGGCGTGAAGAACTGACTTTGAATCACAGAAAATTACTGCGGCTGATAGGCCTAAGTGCAAACATTAAACCAAACTATATCATATATATTCACTGATGTATATTATGATTTCTACCAATGGCGGTATTGTCACTCTTGTCAGTCAGGTTAAGACCAGCACTGGATGGGTGACCGCGCCTAGAGCCCTGCTCCTGGTGCAGGGAACTTCGATCAGTCTGAGTCAGTAAGCCTATTGCCTTACTGACTAGGCAATAGGAACATTAGAAAACTAACTACAATGCAGGTAGCCTCTATCACGTATGTAGCCTAGTTGTTTTAGCCCCTGTATGTAGCCTAGTCGTTGTAGCCCCTATCACAAATGTAGCGTAGTCGCTGTTTGCCTCTATCTTGTATAAAGCCTAGTCATTATAGCCTAACTCACGTATATAGCCTTGTCGTTGTAACCTACAATAACATATATAGAGCCTAGTCGTTGTAGCCTACAATACCACATATATAACCAACAGGATGCCAGAACATGTCTTAGGGACAGTTGCATGTGAATAGCAACTACTGTATAATTCAAAGATTTTGAATTCATGCCAACATAAATTAAGATACAAAATAGAATAAAACAAGGGATTACAGCTGGAAATTATTATACAGGTCTGACTCCAAGTTCGGTGACTTGAGCTGCCATAACGAGGACAATAATGTATGCTGTCTTAATACGCAGAAGCATGAAAGCTTCATTTGCTGGAAAGTTACAATTGTAAGTATAATCCTAGTTTAATATTATTTAGTTTATATGTGGTTTAATGTTGTGAAGAGAATAACTTTAAATGTAATGAACGGTTTGTTTTGGTGTTGGGTTTAAGATCTATAAACCTCTAGAGGTTTATTAAGGAAACCACAATTGCTTACTGACCAACCAGTGAGAACACTTTAATCCTGAAAATAGTCCAGGTCTAAATCAATATCTCAAGTGTATGTGCAGTGCCCTAACCGCGAACGAGTTATGTTCTAAGAATGTGTTCGTAAAGCACCTGCTAAGGAATGCGAAGCGAGACTTTCCATAGACGCAATGCAATAAATGGGAAATGCGTGAACCTGTGACTTGAGGTGAATGACGTCTTGCATTTCATCAACAATACCGACCCTGCCCAGTCAAACCTAACCAAACATAACGCAACCTAAGCTATCCAAACAACGCGATCAACCAATCAAACCTAACCAAACTACTACTACACTAATAATATCATTATTATTTCACACACCTGACCTCTAGGGGACTGGAACCACGGACCCCATGCGTGTGAGGCAGAAGCTCTGTCCACTCGGCTATGAGTGATCCTAATAAGAAAAGATTCTAGAAGCAAGTACTCCTGCTATGCTGGAATTTTCGACTTTCCCTGACTTACTACTGAAGCTCAGAGGAATTAGTGATCCATGGCCACGTCATATAAATTGTCATCTACACTTCCGTGGAAGTGTAGATGACACACTTCCGTGGAAGTGTGGATGACACACTTCCGTGGAAGTGTGGATGACAAAAATATACATTTCATTCACCTGGGCTCCTAGAGCCCAGGTGAATGAAAGGTATATTTTTACGGAAGTGTGGATGACATATTATTATTATTATTATTATTATTATTTATTATAGAATACGAGGAGCGAGACAACTCCCCGTTGTACAAGGGGAGCGAGCGCCCTCGGCGCCAAATAAGATATATGTCTGGGGTCCATAATCACACACTCCTTGAAGTATATCTTCTGAGAAATCACATGAACCTAGACCAGATTAGATTCTTTAATACCTATGTTCCCTTGTATTCTCATCCCAACCCTCGCCTCCTCCCCCCCCCCCAACTCCATCCTAGTCCCACACCGCCCACCAAACCTTCTCCTTCCTCCGCCTCACCCCCCACAAACACACAAACACCCCCCACAATACACCACGCACACCACACTTTCGGCTCCACCAGGATTTTATGTGCGCCAAGTCCAGGAATAAAAAGGCCGTTATTAACGATATTATTAAAATTAATATATTGTTGACATGCAGCATGAATTTTCCCACTTCCAGTTAGCATGTCTTGTGTCATGTTTTGTCATACGCAGTGTCCTGTCATTTTTGTCATACACGTGACTGGTCTTATATTTTATCGTTAATGAAAGTTTATCGCTGTTAGTTTTGTTAAAATCCCGGGAATGGAATCCTTTGTGACATTCTCCGTATTGCGGGGACTAGGATACAGGCTGAGCAACTATGTATTCTCTCTGAACTCAGCACCCGGAGCATAGCCTAGCCACACTGAACACTTACCTGCCTGGCTACTGACATGGGCTTGGTGTTCCTGGGACACGCCGGTATGGCCTTCCTGCAGACAGACTCGAATATCTTGTCCACATTGGCTCTCTTCTTTGCCGAATAGTGGGTGAGTAAGGCTAGTCCCAAGTCGTCCTCGTAGTGAGCTGCGGAAGGAAGCAAGGAGGTAAGCCTACGCTGCCAGGGAAAGACGGACGGGATGATTTTGGGTGAATGGTAGAGGGAGGGAGGGATGTTTGTTTTGGGAGTAAGCAGAGGAGGAATGATGGTTATTGTGATGAAGAATGGTGTAGGGAGAGGACAGGGCATCGTGGTGGAGAGAGGTATGGGTGTTTGTGTGAGTTGTGTACCATATTAGTTTTTTTTTTTTTAAATTTTGCCCCGAGGGGATGAGTTTATTGGGCAGCGCCAATCATCCTGTGAGGGAACATACCATCATAGCAGCATGTACAACACCCCCCCCCCCAATAGGAAGAAAACGATATTATCATGTTGCTATGTAGTGGAGAGGAGGGAATGTTTGGGGGAGAAGGGAGACAGTGGTGGTGATAGTGGGGGAGGTCGAGGTTGTAGTAGGCCTGCTGGTCCATTCGAGCCTATTTACAACTAACATTTTTCACTCATGTATTTGATTAACATATTCCTAAAACTTTCCTTCAGTGACGCTACTTAATATAGTGTTCCACACTTCCTCGACGGAGTTCTAGGTTGGTGGACAACATCTGGGTGTTGACAGTGGTGATGGAGGTCAGTCTCGGAGAGGGTGATATAACACAAGACAGTATACTATGCGAAAATGCTGCCACATTTGAGAAGTATAATTTACATTGATTTGAGAAAATGATTCTTGCGAGTGTTCTTCAAAATGGATGCCTAAAAAAATCATTACATTTGCTACGTAATTTTGTCATTAACCAGAAGGGATTTATAATAACTTTACCACTAATAAATAAAGCTAACTTATATTAGTTAGGGTATTCCTCTCCTGTCATAAAGTTTGGACCTATACTATGGCTCGGTGTCCGAGTTCAGTGTCATGAGTCAGCGTGCACTAGCAGACATTCTGGTCTGTCCGTCTCATAACGTTCTCGAGCTTCAACAAGAAGTAACTAATATAAGTGAAGCTGAGCTCTCCAACCATCCATGATTCGCTAAGGATGAAAAAGATGAATCTACTAACCTCTGATGCCGGAACAGAGTCGCATCATCTTGGGCGGCGAGAGGACGTAGGCTCTAAGTCGATCAGTGCTACAGACGGCCAGGAGCGCGGCGTCGATGTGATCCTCCAGCGAGCCCTTCTCCTTGCCCCACATTTCCATCAGCTTGTACAACTCTGGTGGGAGAGGCAGGGCAGCGATGTTGTTACTCGATGCTCACTAGGGTTGGTCTAGGGGTCTTGAAGGCCAAGACCTATGCAAGATTAAGGCTTTGTCCTTAATAGCTCCACCACCTTTTTGTACTGGAGGAACCTCACAAACCCACACCCTTGTACTAGAGGGGGAGCTCACTGCCCCACCACCTCTCTACTGGAGACATTCATTACCCTAATCGACTTTTTCGGAGCACACAATGGGGAGAAGACAATTATAGCTATCGTCATTATGAACTCAATGCTTACTGGCGTCATATCACATGTTTATCGTGGCGTTCCTCCAGAAGTATTCAGCATGATTACATTATGGTGCTATGTGGACATGTCGCGTGTCTACCCCTTGACATGCATGCGTGTCTATAGCAGACATGTGGAACCTATGCATGTGCGTTTACATGCGTTCATTCACATGAACACTTACATGCGTTCACACACATGAGCACTTACATGCATTCCCACAGTAAATAAGCACACACACACACACACACACACACACACATATATATATATATATATATATATATATATATATATATATATATATATATATATATATATATATATATATATACCGTCTAAACATCCAGAGTACCGTAACCCCCACACCGATCAGTCCTAATGCTTAATAACTAAGCTCCACGACTGATCAACCCCCGACGACACACATGGATCCATTTAGATACAGTTTTTCATCAAATTCTGGCTCATGCACGGGCCGCGCTGAGTTTTACAAGTGTGAGAAAGGTGCATGCACGCGCAAGCCATAGATCACATAAGAACTCTATGACCCCTACTAGGGTTCGAACCAGCATAACCAAGGCTCACTCCCCCCTCCCCTAAGGTTACACAGTGCCATAACCAGTTCATCATCGATTGCCTGATGAGCCCTGGAAGGTTCGAACTCTGGTTCGAACCAGAACCCTGGCAGGTTCGAACTCTGAGCAACTGATCTAGAGCACCACTTACCCTGCACCATACCGTAACAGCCCTCACAGAAGACGGCGGGATCGTTGAAGAGTGTATCGTCAGGTAGTTCTTTTTTGGGTCCCATGTTCTGGGCGCCCTTCGCTGTATGCTGGACGCCCAGCAGCGCCGCCGTCAGCAGCCACGCCGCAGGGAGCCTCATCGTTGTGGTCCTCACTAGTCAGTACGGCCGGCTAGCCTATATTCCTGTTGCTTCACCTGTCCCCCTACCAGGAAGGTTTCTTTTTTTCTGGTGCAGATATATAGTTGTTTGTGGGTGTAGCGAGTGTTTTTAAGTGTGAGTTTTTAAGTGTGTAATGTGTAGGTGTGAGAGTAGTGAGTGTGCAGGTATGGTGGGAGCGAGCGTACACGTGTGGGCTTAACCAGCATGCAGGTGTAAGTGATTGATAAAGATTAAGCCACCAAAGAGGTGGCACGGACGTAAAGGTGTAGGTGTATCAAGCGTGCAGGTGTAGGTGTAGCCAGCGTACATGCGTAGGTGTAGCGAGCTTGCAGGTGTGGCGAGAGCGTGATACTGAGTGAGGGGCGTGAGGCTGGTGCCAGGGTGAACCGCTTCATATCTTATCTAACGTTAGGCGGAAGCCTACGCCCAGCCATTGATAACAATACGCTATGTTTACCAGACACTTTCCACTCCACGACTGTCCTCCAAGGTCCGGGTACGCTAATTTCAAGCAAATACACACCTCTGTTTTCAGTTTAAAGGTATAAAAGATATTAGTAATGAGAGGTAGAGTATGTAGAGGTGAAATGTTCGAGGAGGGAGGAGGGCGGGAGGTGATAAGGGTGGGCGTCTGCCGCCTCTTGACCGTTACAACCTCCCAATAACAATCATATAGCCTCACAGTAACTACTTCGTAAAGAGAGCCAACTGTGTGATATTTATTATATACTCCGTTTATATTAGTGACTTTAAGCAACTTATTGATTAATGAGCCGAGGTCGTCAAGCCTTCCACTTGTGTATGTCTTTCACAATTATGCAACACATTGATAAATGACAAAGACGGCTACATTGTCAACATAAACACTTTCACAACGCTATGATCGCTGTGTTTGAGGCCTGCTATCCTCAAGTAGTCGAAAATTAGGCTGTTCAGTTAATAGCCTCATTATCGTAAAATCAGTTATGATTATAATACCTAAATCGCTGAAAATGTCCTAGCTGCTGGTAGATGAGTTCTCCAATTTGTGCCAGGTGGAGAGACCAGCTTAGACGAAAGTAGTCCCTCCTCCAGGGTGCTACACGTTCTTCTGATCTTGCTGGGGATTGATTGATTGATAAAGATTAAGCCGCCCAAGAGGTGGCACGGGCATGAATAGCCCGTAACTGCTGGGGAGCATCGTTGTGGTTATTAGATGTTTGTTGTATCTTGGGCACACACTTGTCCATCACGCTCGCTCCCACCATACCTGCACACTCACCTCATACTTAAAAATATATCTGCACCTCCGAAGAGCTGGATGAGATCTTCGAACAGTGATTGTTATGTGTGTGTGTGATTTTTTTCTGTAAACCGTAACACAATGTAATAAAATTAATAAAACAAAAGAATAGAGGTGGTAGAAGAAGATAATACGTATTCACAGTTGAGGAACAAATTTTTCTCTGAATGCTATGTATTCCCTTCTCCGAGGCTATGGGTCCCTAGAATTGCACCAGAGGTGATATAGGTGATGAAAAATGTGACAGTGTCAGACCACGAAGGAAGAATTGAAACAGGAATTTCTTTAAGTACTTTCGTATTTAATACTACATCTTCAGAAGACCGCCTTAACGTACGTGAAATTGGTGTAATGGAGAAAGTAAGAGTAGGTAAGGGAGTGGAGTGGTGGTGGAGGGAAATAGTTAAGAATAACGTGTCTCCTCCCGCTACCACAAGTCTTCACTTACCACTACTCCCTACTTACCTGTTCTCCTACAAAGAACGTCGCAATTCGACCGAATGCGTTACATAAGGCCAAACATTGTACTAGAAAACGAAAGCGTCTTGCGAAAATGATTTTACTGACCCGTTTTCTGTTTTGGGTCCTCTGGTAGGTTAGGAGAGGACACTTTAACTTGACTGTTTTCAGGGCAACTTTAGGGCTGGGGAGATCTCCCCAACCTGATGATCAGGTGCACTGCAGGTGGTCGTGACGAGCCGGGTATGGTGTATGCTCAGCCATCTCCACCATACACGTCGTGTATGGTGTATGTTCGGCGTGTATTTACTTGTCGAGCTGTTCTGGGATATAAAATTTACTATGTAAATGTATATATGGGTTAATATGGAACTAAATAAGTACGGAGTGTTGAGTGTGACATAAACGTGACAAAGTCAGTGACTGTGACAACATAAGTGTGACATCGTGGGTGAGTGTGATAACGAGAGTGAGTGTGACAATGTGGGTGAGCGTGACATGATAAATTACAACGTGTCAGTCACAGGACGGGTAAAGATGTATAAGACCCGACATACATCATCTAGAGTCCTCGCAGGTGTGGCGAGTGGGTTGATAGAGTGTATGATTGAGTGTGTGAGTGAGTGCGTGCGATTTCCGGTGACGTGAGCCGGACTCTCAATTTTAACCATAATTTGCCGAGCTCTGCAACTTCCGAAGGAGATTTCGTCGTCAGAAAATGGAGAGTGTTTCCTGAGGAAGGCTGACCGACGACTTATGTAGCTCGGTAAGTATGGTCACTGGAGCTGAAGAACCAGAGAGGTGTAGTGTAGTGTCAGGATGGTGTAGTGTAGTGTAGTACAGTGTAGTGTAGTGTCAGGGAGGTGATATATGGTCTCTTGGTTGTTTGTAATTGAGATACTACGGTTCCTGGTCATTTCGACAACTACCCCTAGACTATATGAAGGGTTACATTGTTTGTGGCAAGAGCTGTAGCCGTATGGTGCTGAAGTCCCTCCACCCCCATCTTCCCGGATTGTTGCTCATACCAGCCCGTGTGATTTGGCCGGGTTAGGGTGGTGGTACAAAGTTCTGGGCGGTGGTACAAAGTTTTGGGTGGTGGTATAAAGTTCTGGGTGGTGGTATAAAGTTCTGGGTGGTGGTATAAAGTTCTGGGTGGTGGTACAAAGTTCTGGGTGGTGGTACAAGGTTTTGGGTGGTGGTACAAAGTTCTGGGTGGTGGTACAATGTTCTGGGCGGTGGTACAAAGTTCTGGGTGGTGGTACAAAGTTTTAGGCGGTGGTACAAAGTTTTGGGCGGTGGTACAAAGTTCTGGGTGGTTCTGACCAGCGGAGACTCTTATTAACTCGTGAGGAAGTACAAACGTGGCTTAATACGACAGTACAGTAAGCTACGGCCTCGATTCACAATCGAAGGGTATCCGAATTCCATCCTCGTTCAAGACATAAACAGTTTGGCACGTTTTCCTTCATATGATGTATCTGTTCATCTACAGAAAAATGTGTTCATGTTTAAAAATCTGTTCACCTACCCGGGAGTTAGGCGGCTGTTGTGGGTTGCTCTCTGGAGATGGTAATTAGTTCAATAGTTAGCCTAGGGGGTTAATTCGAAAAGCCTAATTATAGGCTTCTTTTTTCAAAATTGTGTTTATTACTAAGGTCAAAATAATAGTCTCTTAGTTAGAGTTGTGTTATTATTTAGTGTCCGCCTTTGTGACTGTATGTTGGTGAGGTGCACAGGTCTTTGTGACTGTATGTTGGTGAGGGGGTACACAGGTCTTTGTGACTGTATGTTGGTGAGGTACACAGGTCTTTGTGACTGTATGTTGGTGAGGGGGTACACAGGTCTTTGTGACTGTATGTTGGTGAGGTACACAGGTCTTTGTGACTGTATGTTAGGTGAGGTACACAGGTCTTTGTGACTGTATGTTAGGTGAGGTACACAGGTCTTTGTGACTGTATGTTAGGTGAGGTACACAGGTCTTTGTGACTGTATGTTGGTGAGGTACACAGGTCTTTGTGACTGTATGTTGGTGAGGTACACAGGTCTTTGTGACTGTATGTTAGGTGAGGTACACAGGTCTTTGTGACTGTATGTTAGGTGAGGTACACAGGTCTTTGTGACTGTATGTTAGGTGAGGTACACAGGTCTTTGTGACTGTATGTTGGTGAGGTACACAGGTCTTTGTGACTGTATGTTAGGTGAGGTACACAGGTCTTTGTGACTGTATGTTAGGTGAGGTACACAGGTCTTTGTGACTGTATGTTAGGTGAGGTACACAGGTCTTTGTGACTGTATGTTGGTGAGGTACACAGGTCTTTGTGACTGTATGTTGGTGAGGTACACAGGTCTTTGTGACTGTATGTTGGTGAGGTACACAGGTCTTTGTGACTGTATGTTGGTGAGGTACACAGGTCTTTGTGACTGTATGTTGGTGAGGTACACAGGTCTTTGTGACTGTATGTTGGTGAGGTGCATAGGTCTTTGTGACTGTATGTTGGTGAGGGGGTACACATGTCTTTGTGACTGTATGTTGGTGAGGTACACAGGTCTTTGTGACTGTATGTTAGGTCTTTGTGACTGTATGTTGGTGAGGGGGTACACAGGTCTTTGTGACTGTATGTTGGTGAGGTACACAGGTCTTTGTGACTGTATGTTGGTGAGGTGCACAGGTCTTTGTGACTGTATGTTGGTGAGGTGCATAGGTCTTTGTGACTGTATGTTGGTGAGGTACACAGGTCTTTGTGACTGTATGTTGGTGAGGTACACAGGTCTTTGTGACTGTATGTTGGTGAGGTACACAGGTCTTTGTGACTGTATGTTGGTGACGTACACAAGCTTTCGTAACAGTAGATGAGTGACGTACACAAACATTAGGGATGTACTGGGGAGCCTCGCCAAGAGCAAGGTCACCGGGTAGGATATCATGTCTGTCGAGGCATACAAATATGCTCCTGCTTGTCTTTCAGTCTTCCTCGGCATGTTAATAAATGCCTTCATTATACACCAAGTCATACCCACCACGACCCAAGCCTCTTCTTTCTTCCTTCCTCTCTTAAAAGAGTAAGATAACGGACCCAACACCATGAGAAAGCTGTAGGAAAACTACAGAAAACTGTACCCATTACCATTGTATTGAAAGGATATGCCAATTATAATACCAGATATCATATATGTCTTGTAGACCATTAGGCTGTTTCGCGCGGTCACTTAACCAGTTCACTAGCCAGATCCAACGGAGTTTAACCGCCTGAATGAGACGCGGACCTCATCCTCTCTATCACATCAACACTACAACACTTGTACTATTTCCAAATATATATATATATATATATATATATATATATATATATATATATATATATATATATATATATATATATAATGTGTGTGCAAAAAGAGAAGAAAAGCTGTTATTTGTTAAATACAGAAAAACCACATTTGAAAAATATTTCAATTCTTTTGAAATGTATGCATATTTTGACATAATTTTTACAAATTAGATATTTCAAATGTAGTATGTATAATACTAACGTGCATAGATTGTTATAAGTCAGCCTGTACCTGTACAGCTGACAGACAATTGATAGCGTGAATCTTTCATGCAGGATAACAAAACTTTTGTTGTTCCAAGCAGGCATG